AAAGTTTTTTCTTCATGAAATGACTTTTCTTGGGGGATTCTGGAACAGACTACGAGTCTGTGTATGAAGATTAAAACTGTACACTTTTTGGACCATTTGTCTGCGATACACAAAATCTGGAGCAAAGCTTCGCGTGGCCAGAAAATATTGCTTATAGTAAAGCATATATGACAACCTTAACTGAGACGCCTGTCAGTTAATGTTTATTTCTTCTTTAAGAATGGGCTCCTTATCTTTGGATGAAGTTGCAGTTTGTGTTTACACACTCTTTCAGTCGCATAATAATGAATGCTACAATACCATGAGTTGTACAGAGCTTTAAGGCAAAAAAGAACGTAAGGAGGCTGCTTGGTTACTGGTTTTAAAAGCGATGTCTCCACTTCGGGAAGTCTGTTTTCTTAAATACCTCCTCGTAGTGCAGTGAGGGTTGGAAAACATGCAGAAGCACTCGAGACCAACTCGAGCCATTTCTGTTTAATGTAAACACTGCAAAAGTCAGGGTTGTTTATTTCTGAAACAGAGCGTGGCTTACGCAATGACATAAAATCTTCGCTTAAATAATAGTGCTATTTTTTGAGGGAATAAAGGCGGAAATACAACTTGGCTAAAGTCAACTATGAGCCTGCGAATGCAATTTAAGTCTCGAAGAGGAACAGAAGTTTACCATATCATCACAATTTCAAGGGCTGTCTTGTGTTCTACGACTAAGAGTTCTATCGGAATATTGATGTATTCGTCGAAACTTAGTAAATCTATCGGAGATATGAAGACCAAGGTTGTGTGGCCTTCTGTTTGGTCGCATTATAGTGTTGGTTCGACCTCGTTTTTGCAATTTGGTCGCAGCGTCAGAGAGACTTTGTGCAACGTTACTAGTCCTGTATCATCTGCCATATTATTTATGCTTTCCAGCATTGGACCACTGGCTTGGTACATTGACAGACGTTTGTACCCCAGGAGCGCTGCAAACGACACCTGGTACCGGTAGTGGAGATGATTAGGCTTCACTAAACCCGCTTATAGCGACACACTCTTAGGCGACATTGCAGTAAACAAGAGCACATAATTGTGTAATTAAGTGGATGGAGCATACGAAGTGGGGTTGAGAGAAAGAGATGCAGCACAAGAAGGTAGAACAAAAAATAAGGGCGAGGAGTGATGTCACATCGGTTGAGCAGAAAATTGGTCAAAGGGATTGCTTTCACTTTGGCGAGTTGTAAATATGTGCTTACGATGCTGGTTAAGCGTTTGGGAATGTATCAAGTCAATGATCCGAGGCTGGAAATCGCGAATACTTTGACAGAGGACACAAGACTAGGCACGTTCCACAAGGTCTTCTTGACGCTGCGACCAAGTTGCTAAAGCAAGTTCGAACCATCACTACCAGTAAATCTATGCTGTTATTATCATCACCATGGTCCACTTTAGTGATTAAGGGGTTAATAATCGAGTCTTAACTTCTTGCCTGGAATAGAGGCTTCGCTTTTGCATTGCATCTGATCCAAAGAGGCTTTTTTTATCAAAGATAGACTGACTTTTAAATCTGAACTGGGTCTCGTTTTCAGTCATGTCTTCGGCTGCTCGACCATATCAATGCTTAATTGCTGGACGGTATTTGGAGCATCGCATCATCAGTTGTCACGCAACGCTAATAATGCCTATTCTTGTGTGGTACTTTTTCGGTGTGACTCATTTGCATATCTGATTTTTATTTATTAAGGTTATTTAATGTTGATATGAGATGTATTCACACTATTTCGTTTAAGGTGATGAAGGATTGGTAGTATAATTTCTCCACAATCATATGAATAAAGCTTTATTGTTGCTTGCCTTGTGCATTCAGGCGCCTACTCTCCTCCAAACACACGGTATCGCTTTCCGAATGGCCCTCCATCGGATGATGAGGACAGCCCTCAGCCAGCCTCAACTGGGGATCTCGTCATGGGTCGCGGTAACCAACGCGGCATAACTCCAACTGACAACTACCGACAGCTTCCTCCTGATCCCTCCGGTTTTCAGCAGGTATTTTGGTCTAAAAAAAGTTTGCCTTGGCCACAAGTAATCATTTCATTTCGCCAAAGGCTTCGCCTTTGCGATGCCTCTGGCCTTTTATTTTTGCTCAGTTTGGTGAATAAAAAGGTTTGCTTCGCCGAGACCCAAAAATGTTTCGTGTATCGTGTTATAAAGTCGGCTGATGCCGATTGCCTTTTCATGGATGCCAAAATCATCATGAAATCTCTTTTAGAGAATGAAGGTGCCATTGCTAAATTATTGTTCTTAGGTACTCATAATCAGTCTGCTATAAAGAGTTAATGAATTAATTTATATGAGATGTATAATGTGACAAAGGACTGGTAGTCAAAATTTTCCACCATCTGATGGGTAAGCCTTACGCTTCCATTGACTTCCACATAGCCTTGCTTCCAGAAAGGTTTTTTTTCGTGCTGAGGTGGACTGCAGTTTCGACCTCGTCTAGGTATCATCAGCTCCCTAACAGGATTCGAACTCGGGTCTTGGTAATGCAGCGTATATTCTTGACACGTTGACTAGTTTGACATACTGCCACGAATCCCCTTGGGTCACAGAGCAGCTCTAAATAATGAAGGCCGGGCCTTCTTTTCCCATATTACATACTGCTTTGGGGTTGTCGATGAAGCAAAGTTGTATTTGCTATTTCAATCGAGTAAATTATTTATTATCGCTTATTAATAGGTTTTCGAGACTTTCACATGTATTCACCATATTTCGTTAAGTTGATAAAGGCGCCGAGATTATATGCCGCATTATCACGATTCGAGCTGGGGGTGCTGATGAGACCAGTTCAAGCGATGTCGAAACTGCATTCCACTTCAGCATGGATGAAAATACCCTTGGAAAGTAAGTTTATGTTAAATTCAATGAAAAGGTGGGGCCTATTCATATGATTGTGGGAAAATTCAGCTACCAGTCCTTCATAACCTTAATTGAAATGGGATGTATGCATCTCATATACATTTGCAGTCTCGAAACCTGCTTATAATCGGAAATATTTAAATCATTTTCCATTTTTCTATTTCTTCTTTGCCTACGGTCACCTCTTAGTAAGAATTTTAACTATCGGCTTGTAAGAATCAATATCAGTTAAATGCGCTGGCATATCCTATATGCGGTTCAATTTATAGTCATGCTTTTAATCATCAGTTTGCACAAGAAAATCGTACGAGCCTGAACTTCTGAACGAAATGTTAATCTCTGATATCCTCATCAGGTGGTTATAGAAACCGTTAACTGATTAGTGAAATGATTTTAACATTCGTTTTCTATCCCTATGCCTTAAATATTCGGATGTGCCAAAAAATCACCTAAAATGGTTATAATAAAAAGTTTGTACACACAGTTATAGATGTTAAGTTTTAAATATTTGTTTTTTTATATCGCGATAGTTTTCGAAATTATTGGACTTTTATTTCTTGGCATTAGCAGAATTGTGGCCTATCTCTCGTGAAAAAAAACTAAATTTTATCTTTACGCCTTAACAAGATGCTATTTCCGTTTACACAACTAATTTTGTGCGTATAATCAAAGCTGACTCCAGCAGCCTGTATTTAACAACCCAATCGGTGGTTTGAACGCTGATAATTGCTCATAAAATAGCTCATTTTACGCGTCATCGTAATCATGCCTAACTTAGAAGCTAGCCAAAGGAAAAGTAATAATCCTCTCTACCTGTCTTAAACTTTTTAATTACATTCCTTACATTTCTACCCCCGGGTATTCAGATGAGTAGTGGGATGGAACCTTCTGAGTCGGCTTCTGAATTGAGCCGCTCTGACCCTGACAGACGTCTTCCTTCTGCAGGCCCTGTTTACTCTTCAGGACCTCAAGAGCCATCGGAGCATTCTCTTGGAAGAAATTCTCGACCAGAACTCATAGAAACCCAAACGCCAGACTGTTCAATACCCATTGTTTGGGGCGATGGCTCGTCAGGGCTTGACCCACGTTGTTACGGCCAACAACAGCCGTCAACTGAGATGCACGGTTCATTAGCATCAAATCCACAAACTCAGCCAGCAAGACAACCTCCTGGGGTGCATCGTCAACAGCAAAAACCCTCGCCTCAGCCTGGCAGGATGATTGAAAACGGAGAGTCAAGTGGATACGCTGACAGGGACGGCAATAGAAAGGAGTACAACAGCTATGATGGTCGTGATTATAGCAGTGGTGGGTCCCTTATGACAGTTATATTTATTAGAGTAAATCTTGTTAAGATACCGATTAATCTAACTGAACACAGATCAAAAAGCTCCATTTACCTTGCTTAATTTTG